CGACAAGGCTATGATCCTTTTCCGCCTGCCACCTTCCCCTGCAGGGGTTGACGGAGGGTCAGCAGGATGTGGGAGGGACCAGGTCCCTGTCCCACAGGTCGCCTCGCCGAAGCCCGTGTCCCAGGCTATAGAGATCTCTTTTTAGTCTTTGGAGTTTCCTGAGGTCCCTGCGGGGTTGTTTTTTTTGTTTGTTTGTTTTTTAACAGAAGGCTCAGTTGTTGCAGAACCTTTTTGCGTGTTTTTGTTCCTTTTTAGTGGAAACCTCTATTTGGCAATAGAACTAAAGTTTCCTCACAGGTTTCGGGTTACAGATGGAGTCTTGCTCCATCCCCGAGCGTCCTCCGGGAACACCGTTTTCTAAAGTTGTGACTGTGCAGAACTGGGCTTGCCTAAGGCCACCAAGCCTGGATTCGAGAACTGAAAATGTCCTTTTAAAATAGGTAAGGGAGTTTGGACCAGGAGTTTTATCTGGATAGCCCCGTTCTTGGAAACGCAGCTGGTATCTCTCGGGATATTCTCAAAAAGCTTTCGTGCGAAACTTTAGACATTTACTGATTCACTCTGAGCCCCGACAGGAAGGCCTCGCCGCGCAAAGCGCTGCGGTGGGAACTTCGGGAGAGACGGGGACACTTTTCATTTCACTAGGCAAGGGGGCCCCGCAGGTTAAATCTTCTCCAGGTGGTTTTCCCGGGAGACATCTCCAAATCTGTGCTGTTGTGGAATGCTCCTTCACGGCTCATCACAATCTTCCCTGCTGATGTTTAAGACCATTCAGTTCTTACTGGAAAAGAACGAGTCTCTACCTTCTGCCTAATCTGTCTTCTGAATCGAAAGACCTTAATCTACACGCCGGGAAGCATTTTCTTTCCCCAGCAAAAGCAGCGCAATTCTCTGACCCAGCTCCTTCCTCCCCTGCCCGCTTGGGGGTGGTGATGGTGAGGAGGGGTGTTTGGGGCAGAGTTTGCAATCTCTGGCCAGGCTGACCTCTGGGTGGTAAGAACCTGCCATCTAGGCTGGGGTAGCCCTGGGGAAAGTTCTGGGGCTTGGAGCCCACTGGGGACCAGGGAACACAAGCTGAGCCTGGCTGGCCGACTGAGCCTGCGAGTGGCAAAGAAAGGGGACGTCCTTCTGCGTCTGGGTTCTCTCAAGTCCACAGGTGACTGGCGTCACTAGAGCAGCCCTCCCCGCGTTCAGCATGGAATCTGACAGCATCAGCGGTGCTTTCTGGACAAAGAAGTGAACACAAGAAAAAGCCAAAGTGTGACCACAGGCTGGGTGGAAACAAACACCAGCCCATCCGCAAAGACCCTGCTCTGGTCTGCGGCGCGGGAGGGTGGGGAGGTCGGATGGGGCAGAGGCAGCCTGAGATCCCGAAATTTCCCTGGGGCAGGCCCTGACTTGGGAGCGCTGGGTCCCGTGGTGAGCGGCGCAGCTACACAATTTGCAGGGTCCAGTGCAAAGTGAAAACACAGGGCCCCTTGCTCAAAAACTACTGAGAATTTCAAGATCGAGACAGCAGAGCTTTAAACCAGGCTCAGGATCCTGAGAAAGATCCCGTGTGTGGCTGGACGGCGGTGAGATGAGATGATCCACACGGGGACCCCCCAACCCAGGGTTTGGTTCTGTGGCGCCTGAATGTTTCCAGCACCGATGAATTTCTTTTCTTTTCTCCAGGTCCTATCTGCCCAGGCAACTTCTGCCCAGTGGCTGCCTCCTACCTCCCGGCCTCTCCCACTGAGGTCTCTCTGCTGAGGTGCCCTCCCCTGCTCGGCCGCCCTGGGAGCTCCCCTTTGGTGCAGTGGGAAGAACATGAGCCTTGGGACTGGTCAGACCCGGCGTCACACTCTGATTCACTACACATGTGGCCTTGGGAAGTTATCCAAAGTCTCAAAGTCTCAATCTTCTCTTCTATACAACGGGCTAATAAAAGTAGCTACTGTGCAACTTGCTGCAAGGATTAAATGAGCTAAAGAGATGCATGGCAGGCACCTCATGTCGGTGTGCCCCGGTGAGGGCTCCAGACCAGAGCCCTTGGGGCATGCAGCGGCCACAGATGAGACTGGCCAGGTCAGTGACTGTGGGAGGTGAGCCTCACTGTGGCCGGTCCCCAGAGGGTCACTCCCCGGATGTTCAGCTCCTGCAGGTACACAGGGGAGCCTGGGCCCACCTGTTCAGCCTTCGGACGCCCCCTTCCCTCTGCACTAAATGCCTGGCTCTCTTTCCCTCCTGGGTAGTTCTGAACATGTTAGAAAGAAAAAGGCCCGAAGAAGGTATATAGGGGACTCTGTGTGGTTCCTTCAGTGATTGTTCCCGTGTATTCGCTCTACTCTGGTTATGGAAACCCTGCCATCATTTCTGGATCTATTTCAAGCCTTTCTCTTCCCTGCACTTAGGAAGGTGCCTGCTCCACCCAGCCTTGTCCCTGGTGGGAGGGACTCAGGGATGCTGAGCTTTCTTGCTTAGTCCAGATCCCTAGCTGAGAACCCGTTGCTATGGAAACCACCGCCAGGAAAGCAAGATGGTGGGGAGGCTGGCACATGGGTTGGGCTCAGACCTTTCTCAGAGGCAGTTTTTGGTTTTGTCTTATTTGGCTTTGTGTTTTAGTAGAGAAACACAACTCATACTTCCCACCGCTTCCATTCTCCACTCTCACCCCAAATGTGAATTTGGATAATACGTTTCTCCAGCAGGAACCGTAGGTCGTTTTTAGCTGCTGGCTCTGGGAGGCTCTGAACAGGCCCCTGGAATCTGTGACGATAAACAAGAGCCGGCGGGGCTGGGCTACATGCAACTTAAAATTGGAAGCACGGGAGGCGGAGTGTGCTTTCTGTGGCCTGGGGGTGCAGGAGCTGAGTCCTGATTTACGAGGGGCCCAGGAAAAGCACATGAGAGCCGAGGTCGTATTTATAAATTCCTCCCCCCGATGGATGGAATGTTGCCCGGAGCTGCAGGCAGATAGCACCTTTTTGGGGGATGAGGGAAGGTTGCTTAAGTCCAGTTATTCAATGACGAAAGGGGAAGAGAAACGTCATGTGGGCCCTGACACTTGCTAGAGCTTCCTCGGGCCCCACCTGGACAGGCAGGGATTAGAGGAAAGCTGCAGCCAGGTTCGTGGCAGGGACTACAGAGACTCCCCACGGAGGGAGACTTCTGCTTCTTCCTTCCTGCAGAACTTAGGAACGTCCTACCTTGTGTTGCTCCTTCTTTTTGGCCGGCGGCCGGCGGCCGGCATTCACGCAGAAGCCTCTGTCACGCAGAAGCCTCTGTCACGGCTCTGTTGCTCACAGGCCCCGGGGGGCCGCTGCCCACGGCCGTGGGTGCTCTGTCCGAGCAGCAGGGGCTCGTTCCCAAGTCTGCACCGGGCGGTGCCCACCAAGCCCATCTCCCAAGGGCGGTGGGGGATTAGCTCAGCTGTGTCCCGCCCGCTCGCCTCTGTCCCCCGGGAGGAGGAGTCACAATTCCCCCTGACTTGGGACCAGTGCTCACCTGAGACCCCATCGTCCACGTCCCTCGGAAGTCAAGCCCCAGGGAGCCTCTCCTGAGCCCTCCCTGCACCCGTCTTGTCCTGGGGGCGGTGACGAGGTAGGAGTGTGCAGGGAGGCGCCAGCGTCAGAGCAGGAAGGGATCCGCGGCGGGGGCAGTAATCACAGCTGTCACCTATCAAGCACCTGCTACGTGCCGCGTGTGCTAAGAACACTGTTCTCAGGGAGGCTGAGGGGCGTGAGGGCCGCGTGCGAGTGGGCGGGGCATAGCCCAGCGTGCAAACCCCACTCAGCTGTGGGGCCCAGGCTCTCCGGGTTTCAGCGTCCTCGTTTGCAAGAGAAGAACGTGAAGAAGAGCAGCTGCCCCGCAGGGGGGCAGTGAGTTTCCGTGCAGGCCGGGCGCCTGGACAGTGCCTGCACCCAGGCGGGGAGGCCCGAGGGCCTCTTGCTGAGGGAGGGTCCCAGCCTCTCAGCTCCAGAGCACAAGCTCCTTGTTTTGCAAATGCAGAACACAGGTGTTGCGGGGGTAGCAGGAGAAAGGATCCAACCACCCCAAAACACAACTCTCTTTGCAACCAAGATGACCTCGGGCCAGGCCCCTGCGCCTCTGGGTGGGCTGATGGGCCCCGGGGCGTGGCGGGGGCATGCGGGACTGCCCGTCCTCAGCTGCCCTCGTGCCATGTGCGCCGGCTGCGCGGTGAGCACGCGGCACTTCCCTGTGGGAGGGAGAGAAACGTCAGAGCCGCTGCTCCACCCTGACCCACGCAGGTCTTCTAGGAGCTCTGTGTGGATTTCTAACCACTCTTGCTACCCACTTATCCATTCTATTGAAAATAAATATTTCCAGACTTCTTTTTGCTACACCCTCCCATGCAGGAATTCATTGCATTTTCAAAAACACAAAAAATGGGAATTCCTGCCTTGTTTCAACCCCGGATGGTTTCAGTCGGAACCAGACAAAAGGAAACAGCGTCAGAACCTGAGTGTCTTGTTTATTACCAGCCGCTCCCTTTGCCCTTTCATTCAAACCTCCCTCCTTCCCCCAGACGAACGCAGACATGTTACGACCGACCCCGGCTCTACTCCCGGCTTCAAACGATGAATCACGGGGCTTGGCGAGGACAGAATGGAGCCAGCTCGTGCTGCGCGGAAGGGGGGGATGTTTCCTGGAGGCCTGAGCTCCTTCGCCAAAGCCCCCATCACCACCACTCACCCCGGGCTCAGCTGTCACCCGCCCTCCCGGACCCGTCAGCAGGTGGAGGCTGCAGTCCCAGAGCTGGCGAGAATTCTAGTGTGGACCAACGGCTGCAGCCCCCCTGTTGGGGGATTGGGTGCCCATTAGGGACATGCCCAGTGGGCTCTGAGGTGTCATCCTGGCGGACACCTTTGGCCTGTTGTCCATGCGGAGGAAGGTCACCTCTGTTCCGTTCCTGAGTGAGGGAGGGTTACGGTTGGCAGGCGTCGGGGTGTCCTGCGTCCTGGACGAGCAGCTGGGAAGGTCGGCAGAGCAGACGAGATGCAGGAAGCTGGGTTGCCTCAGCTGTGCTGGAGAAGCCGCAGTGCCCAGGGCACCTGGGGGTGGGGGAGGAGGAACCCGAGGCCTGGGGTTTTCGCCGCAGAGGGCGACGGGCTGTCCGGGCCAGGTGGGCAGCCCGGGTGCGGTGGGCGCCGGCCTCACTTGGACACCAGCATGCGGAGGAACTCCTCGTAGTTCACCTGCCCGTCCCCGTCTGCGTCCGCGGCCCGGATCATCTCGTCCACCTCCTCGTCGCTCAGCCTCTCCCCCAGCCGGGTCATCACGTGCCTCAGCTCGGCGGCGCTGATGTAGCCGTTGCCGTCCTTGTCGAAGACGCGGAAGGCCTCGCGGATCTCCTCCTCGCTGTCCGTGTCCTTCATCTTCCTGGCCATCATGCCCAGGAACTCGGGGAAGTCGATGGTGCCGTTGCCGTCCCGGTCGATCTCGCTCACCATGCCCTGGAGCTCGGCCTCCGTGGGGTTCTGGCCCAGGGACCTCATGACGGTGCCCAGCTCCCGGGTGGTGATGCTGCCGTCCCCGTCCTTGTCAAACAGAGAGAAGGCCTCCTTGAACTCGGCCACCTGCTCCTCGGTCAGCTGGTCCGTCATGCTGGAGCGCGTGGGTGGCGTGGCCGGGAGGCCGCCGCCGGTGTCCACTCCCCGGGCGCTGGCAGGCGGAGATCGCGAGGGCCGCCTGGCCGGCTTTCGAGCCCCGGCTTGAACTGCTGGGGCTTAAGAAGAAGCGGAGTCCTCCCCACCGATCTGCAGGTGCCCCCGCCCTGCGGTTGCCCGAGGCTGGTCCTGTTTAGACAGGAGTCCAGGGAAGGAGCCAGGCCGGCTGCTCCCCGGGCTGGCGGTGACACCCCTGTGCCAGGGGCGGCCGCCGGCTTTCCACCCTGACGACCGCAGAGCCGGCGGGAACCACCCTAATAAAAGCTTCACGCGGGGTGTGGTGGGTGACGCTAGAGACGCTGACCTGGGCTCTTGCTGCTCTGTGTGTCCTTCTCTCCTTCCCCCCATCTCCCACCTGCCTCTCTCCCCTCTTCGCTCAGCAAGGGAACCGGCCAGAGCCCCTCCCTGCAGTGGCGCTTGTTACTGACAGCGACGCCCTTCCCTTGTCTTTGTGTGCAGAGCCCCGGGTGCCTCGGACGGTTTCCCCTTCAGGCAGAAGCAGAGTGTTTACTTATCCTCAGACTAGATGCAATGGTGAAGGGTTTCCTCCAACCATGCACTCACTCACGCTTTCTGGGACATGTATTGAGCGCCTACTGTGTGCGGGAATGCAGTGGGAAGTGGCAGGATACCCCGGTCCTCCGAGGGTCACTCGCAGGACAGTCAGTGGGCAAGTAAACCAAGAGAGAAACCAAACAAGGTGATTAGAGGTTTTCGAGATTCCCACGAATGTCTCCAAGAGGAGAGGTGCTCAAGGGGGCGGCGGGGGGTTCACAGAGCAGCGATGTGGTCAGCGTCCATCTCTACGTGAGCGCGGCTGGTACCGCGTGCACAAAAGCAGAGTAATGAATGATCCCCCGGCCCCGTCTGGCTGCCAGAGCGGTGCTCGGCAGACACGAGACTGCTAAGCATTTCTTCTGCTCCCGCCCTCTGAGCTCATGAAGTAATTTGGGGGCAGTCGAGGGAGGGACGTGGGCACGAGGCCGACTCAGTCTCCTGGAGAGCGCAGGGCTGGCTCCGTGGGGAAAGCCGTGGCCGGGACAGGCCCGCGGTGGACAAAGACTCACAGCCACGAGGGATCCGCTCGGTCCTCCTGCCTCCCCAGGGACCCGGGTAAGAGGCCGACAGGGACCTGCTGGTTTCTGGGTCACGGTTCTGTGGCCCAAACATCCTGCCTTTGCCTGATGTGCTTTTCAAAAAGACGCACCGACAGAGAACTCCATGAGGATTTTAAGCAGAGTTTGCTTCGTTTGCCGTAACTCACACAGGACTGTCGTGCTGGGCCAGAACGATTGTCGCAACTCACTAGTTGGGAAACGGTGGCAGAGGGAATGTTTTCGAATTCCACGCTCCCCTCTCTCCCTGCGGCCTCTCGCCCCAAACTTGGGTTCCTTTCCCTGCAGAGCACACGTTGTTTTCGGTCTCAGGACCCGTTTAAACGTTTAAAACTTACTGAGGACTCCAAAGAGCTGTGTTCATGTGGGAGATCTATATATTAATATACCTACCTATACAGACACTATGCAATTAAAACTGGAAAATATTTAAATATATTTTATGGGGTTACAACAAACACAGAAATAAATCCATTGCTTGTTCACATAAACGATGCATTTTTATGATAGATAATTATGTTTTGCAAGACAAAGAATAGGGAGAAGAATGGCATTTAAAAATAGTTTTGCAAATTCTTTAACGTCCAGCTTTGCAGAAGCGGGTCTGCGGCAAGACGCCGTTTTGAAGTGAGAGGTTCTGCAGCTTCACACAGATACGCGGGTGGGAAAAAGGGAGCATTTAAACGGCCTTTTCAGAAAACGGTGGATATTCTTTGATAGGACATCAACATTTGACAAGTGGTTGTTTCTTAAAGGTTGGCTCATTATCACGGTCACCACGCAAGGGCTCTGGCGCAGGTTCCTTGAGAGAGGCCGGGGGACAGCTGAAGTGACACGTGCCGGCAGATCTCGGGGCACCAGGCGCCTTCTCTCCTCAGCAAAGAACCCGTGAAGATGATTAGAGAGACACGCCCGGCTCAACACCAGATCTGGAAGTGAGGACAACAGTCCGGCCAGGGAGGGTCTGGAGGGGCCAGGCCGAGGGGGGCTGGGGGGGTTCAGGACAGAGGCAGGAAGCGGGTCTGGGGGAGGCAGCCCATCCCCTGAGCACACACGGCCATCCCCACTTTGCCAGGGCCTCCAGCCTCACCCACGGAGCGGGGGGTGCGCCTCGAGTCACTGCGGGGTCACCTGGGAAACGTGCGAATGGAAGAATGAAGAAATAACTCCTAGCACCCCCGACCTCGGCCACTTCCTTTCTCAGGCCGTCTTCCCATGTGGTCTGTGGCCCGGCGAGACTTCGGGGTGTGTGGTCTCAGCGTCACGAGTTCCTACCAGCGACTCTCCATCAGGACCACCCTACATGTCTTCCGGAGGTGCCCAGACGTGCCTGGTTTGCAGGGGGTGTCGCGGATCTGGGATCTGTGCAGTTCACGCTCCGACGTGCAGCAGCCGGGACAGGCACAGGCAGACGCAGGCGTGATGAGGAGTCGCTGAGGACGCTGGTCAAATGCGTATGGGGACAGCAGCAGCCTCTCTGCTGTGCCCACGGTGTCGACCAGCTACTTCTGCTGCTTCCTGCTTCCCAAGGCCGGGCTGACCTGGTCGTGAACTCGCCTTGCTCTGTATTCCAGCTCACGGTGACCGTGGCCGGAACAACCGCGTGTCCGTCGTCCTCAGTGCCAGCAGAGGGGCTTCTCAACGGATGTGGGATTTCCCGAGGGAACCCGGGGCCTGGGCCTTCCTTTCCCGCCTTCCCACGAAGGCTGTTCCAGATCTGGCGTGTGACACGGCTCTTTTGAGGACTCTGGTCAGTCTTGTGTGAATCATCGAGATTCACGCAGGGCGGGGCCCTGGGCTGGGCTGGAGTTTGAGTTCGGGGAGCAGATCGCTGTTCTGGAACAATGATCTGGAACAGCTGTGGGTGGCTTAGCTGAGTTCTGATAAATACCAAGATAGATCATCCGCGAGGAGGTCGGCACGTGAGCTCGGCTTCCCTGGAGTCTGCAGGGCCCCTGCGCCTTGCCCCCGCCTGGTCGTGCTGGGGAGGGTGGTTCGAGCGTGGGATGGGGGTGAGGAGGCCAAACAGTTGGGTTGAGTTGAGACTTTCATCCTCCCACCATGCCTTGCTGTCTCCCGGGGCTGCTGGTGCATGAGGCCGCCCAGGCCGCCCAGGCCGGCGTGAGCCGTCTCAGCGCAGGCGGGTCCCGCAGCTGCGGGCGGCCGTGGGCAGCTCCTGGCCTCTGCGAGCACCTCAGTCAGCGCGTTTAGCAAAGGGCCACATGGCGCCTTCGTGCGGACTCCACTTAGTTTCTGAGAGCAAGTTTGATTCAATCAGGATTAAAGGATCACCCCCAAGCAGAAGCAAATTAGTAATAGGTCTCATGACAAAAGCAGCCACATAGGTGAAGATCTGTTCTCGGACTTCTTAGTTTCCTGGAAAAAGGGCTGTTTCTTGGGAACAAGATCAGAGCTTTCCCCACAGCCTGCGTGAGCTCGCTCTCGCCCTCCTGCACGGGGTGCTGAGCGCGCAGGGGCTAGCGGGGGCTGGAGGGAGGAGCAGGCGGGTAGAGCAGGGAGCACTCGCTGGCCCTGGGAGCTGCTCCACCGGCTTCTCAAACTTGGTGCTTGATGTTTTGAAAAGAGAGACAACTGGCAGATATCAAATGGGTGATGTTCCTGAGAAGTGTGGGCCACCCGTGCAAATCTCTTTACACGAGATGCATTTGACAACTGGCTAAGCAGGACCATCTGCCACTCTGATTCCCCATAACCAAAGGGGTGGGAGAATTATCTCCCAGAGAACAAGCTGATCCCCCCGATGGATATGGAGCTCACCCAGCAGCAGGCAGCACTTTCGTTCCAGGTTCCAGCCTTTGAAGTTTATGATTGAGATGAAAACCTTAGCATTTGATCCAGGAGGGGTGTGTGTGTGTGTGTGTGTGTGTGTGTGTGTGTGTGTGTGAGCCCACACGTGCAGCTCAAGCATCCGTGTCACAGCGTGTTGCTGCAGGTGAGCGTGTGACATGCGCAGGAAGCAGGCGGTGAGCTCACTGCCTGCATGAGGGATCTGAAGGAGGTGAGGGAGGGAGGTCGGGCAAAGCGCAGCCCCGTCACCAGCGCCCACGCTAGCGTTTACTCCAGTGGTTTTAAACCAGGCTGCCCGAAACCCCGGGTTCTGGAGAGCTCCTTCCAGAGGTGCGTGGGGGCCCGGGAGGGGAGGGCAGGGGCCCAGCGCACCCGGCCTCCTTCCCTCCCCTGGCTCGGGAGTCCTGCAGAGGCCACGGTTGGCACGTGGAATGCCACAGAGGAAAGCGGAGAAGACGAGAGAGCTCACGCAGCGCTTCCTGGACGGCAGCACGGACCCGGCGCTGTGAGGCTGCAGGGAAGGGCGTCCTCGCTGGGGACCTCCTGTGAGCTCCACTGAGGTGCGTCCGGCACGCGGCCGAAGGCAGCTGCATTCTTGGAAACGAGAAGTTTGATGGGCACTTCAGATCCACAGAGAGAGTGAATTTCGTTTTGCAGAATGGATCAGGAGAAAAGAAAAAGAACTTTAAATGTTGGCGGGACTTTGCATTTCGCCCATTCATTTATTCACTCACTCATTCACCCTTCCCTTCATCATTATCGTTCTCAGATTAGTGAGCACGGAGAGTCACTTTGTGCTAGCGCCGGGCCCAGCCTGAAGACCTCAAGGTGGTTTCGACGAAGTCCCACTGTTGAAGAATTCACGGGCTGTGTTTCCTGCCAGGCCTGAGACAGGAGGGACGCACCCGGGGGGCCTCTCCCGTGGACCTCCCCACCCTCCTTTCCTCTCCCGGACCCCAAGTCCTCGTGCCTGAGCTGAGTTCTTGGGAGAGAGGGGGTTGAAAGCTGGAACAG